GGGACAAGTAGGGATTATGAGGCAAAGAAGAAAAATAAGACCATTCCAGGAGGAAATAGGATACATAAAAACTGAGAAGGTGGAAAAAAAACTTGGGCATTTGAGAAATTATGAATGGAGACAATACAAAGTATTTCACAGAGAAACTATGAGGATTAAATAAGATAATGTTACATAGGATGAACCAGCAATTTCTGAAATGTAGTAAATGTTAAAGGTCTTCCTGTTAGCCCAAGGCCTAAGGACTAGGGTAAAAGGGATCTGAGATTCACTAACAGAATTAAGTAGGATTTTCCTAACAGGGTTAGATTCCATCACTGTTTTAGGAGATCTCATGATTAGACACTTACCCACAGTGACCTGCCTTCTTAATGTAGCCACACTTAGTTTTGGGCTGTGGGTGTCAGCACTCAAACCTATCAGCCCTTCAAGGGTATTCTGATTGGTAGACTGATAGGAGATTCAAGCATAAACAGTGAGTCAGTTGTTCAGAATGAAAGTTCTCCTTGCAAAATACTAAGAGCCAGTCATCTGTTTTCTTTTCTTTTTTTTTAATGTTTATTTATTTATTTTGAGAGGGGGTGGAGCAGAGAGGGAGGAGAGAGAGAGAATCCCAAGCAGGCTCTCAGCTGTCAGCACTGAGCCCTACTTGGGGCTCAAACCCATGAGACCACGAGATCATGACCTGAGTTGAAATCAAGAACTGGACACTCAGCCGACAGAGTCACCCAGGAGGCCCTGGACTAGAAACACAAATTATGTTTTTGTCCTCTATCGCTAGGGCTGAAACTTCGGTTTCTACTAAGTAAGATTGAGACTTCTAAGAAAGTCCTTCTGAGAGAATCCTGAGCCAACCTCCTTTCACACTAGAGCCAGCCACTGAAAATTTAAGGATTCCAACAAATTAATTTGGCATACTTCCAAAGTAACATAAAGAAAACAAAAAAAGGGTTTATAAGATACCATCCAGCTGGTGTTAAATAGCTTACCCAAGGTAAGTGGCATCAGTAGGTGGCAGAATAGAAATTTAAAACCAAGTCCTGTCTTACCTCAAATAATAAACCTTTCCCACAGTAATTCATTTCACAACTGATATGCTTATGGGCAAATACCATCTTTGGAATCTAATCTTTGCATGATCTTATCTATCCTTTGCATTATCTTGCATAATCAATGTCATAAGGCTACAGAAATAGAGAATATCCTCTCCTGGACAAGGGTGTGGTGAAGTTTCCTGCTTTGTGCATTTCTCCTTGAGCCTTTATTGTAGCACCTTACCAAAGAATCATCCCATCCCTTCTCCCACTGCCCATCTACCCTTGACTGTTGCACTTCAAATACTGTACTCCCAGTTAGTACTGAAAAATGAGGCCAGAAATTTTTCACATCACTTGCTTCTTTTGTGCTCTGGCCACAACATTTTACATCCCTCTCTCAAAAGCCTCATCACCTTTTATCATGGGCTCAAGTCCAGGATCTTGTCATCTGTACCAGGTCTGCGTGTGAATGAGGATCCTTAAGTGCAGCTCCTCTCAACGTGTAAATCTATTAACTAAGAAAATCCGTTATTTGCCTCCCCTCCCCCAAACACCCAATATATGAGAAAGGGATAGAATTATTGTACCAGAACTCCCATTCGAAAAGGGGGTTGGGGGAAATGGGGGCATTTAAGAGCCACTAATCCATGGCAATAAAATTATGGTCAGGAACTACACAAATGATTGCCTCTGCAATGTTCTAAAGCACCAGAGCGCACCCATTCCATGCGTTACATACTACTTCCCAACCAAGGCAGACATCAGACGGCCATTTTTCTAAAAGCACAATATCAACTACCCTCAAGGATTTAAAAAATATGCATCTACTTATGTATCACATCATCACATGTGTCACATATGTCTGCCAAGGCTAGAGAGAGCTCCTAGGGAGAAGAAATATAATTAACTCCATGGTATATTTAAGCTTTAGTCATTTTGCTTGTAAATTAGCAAACCTAGGCTACAGTTAGACATCGTTTTTTCACTGAGATTTTAAAATTACACTTTCTCAAAAACAAGTTTCATCTTCTGTTCTGCCCCACACATTACAGAGAAGCAACCAAGTAGGACTTAACCTTTTATTTTCTAAATTAAATATTTATTTATTTGGGGGGGGGGGAGAGAGAGAGAGAGAGAATGCATGTGTGCACAGCGGAGGGGCAGAGAGAGGGAGAGAGAGAATTCCAAGCAGGCTCTGCACTGAAAGCACAGAGCTCAATGCAGGGCTCAAACTCACGATCCCATGAGATCATGACCTGAGTCCAAGTCAGACACTTAACCAACTGAGCCACCCAGGCACCCCAGGACTTAATTTTTTAAAAGCTCCAATATCTGGGATCGTTTTAGTTAACATTTACTCAATTGCTGAGCCATACCTACTTTTCTTTAGATCAGTATTTCAATTATAGTCTGTAATTTTTTAAAAAGTCGATTTATCCAATCTCTACATCCTGTTCCCTTGCACTTTAAATGGGCAACACTTTACACTTTGATTCGATTTCTTTCAGTACCCAAAGAACATTCACATTTTATGTATTTTTTTAAATTTTAGTGTTTTATTGATTAAAAAAAATTTTTTTAATGTGTATTTTTGAGACAGAGGGAGACAGAGTACGAGTGGGGGAGGGGCAGAGAGAGAGAGAGGGAGAAACAGAATCCAAAGCAGTCTCCAGACTCTGAGCTGTCAGCACAGAGCCCAGCGCAGGGCTCAAACTCACAAACTGTGAGATCATGACCTGAGCTGAAGTCAGACACCTAACTGACTGAGCCACCCAGGGGCCCCTGTTTATTTATTTATTTTAAAGTTTATTTATTTTGAGAGAGAGTGCACGTGAGCTGGGGAGGGGCAGAGTGAGAGAAGAGGAGAGAATCCCAAGCAGGCTCTGCACTGTCAGCATGGCAGAGCCTGACACAGGGCTCGAGCCCATAAACCGTGAGATCACGACCTGAGCCAAAGTCAAGAGTCTGACGCTTAACTCACTGAGCCACCCAGGCGCCCCAAACATTCATGTTTGAACCAAACAAGTCAAACTATGGAAAATGCAATTCTGAAGCTGTTCTGATCACTCTACATCTAATCCCTGGGGACCCATGATCTAGATCAGTCATTCTCAATGGGGGGTGATTTTGTCCCCTCAAGGCATCTTTGGCAATGTCTGCAGATATTTTTGTTACAACTGGGGGTTCTATTGGCATCTAGTGGGTATAGACCAAAGATGCTGCTAACAATCATCCTACAGGACACGGGAAAACCCTCCACAATAAAGAATTATCTGGCCCCAAATGTCAATTTTGAGAAATCCCAGTCTAGATAGACTTCCATTATGATTGTGTTTGATTGATACAATGTAACAAAACACACTTCAAACACCAATCCCAAGATATCATCAGAATCTAATTACTTACAGCCACTCATTCAATAAACATTTATTGAGTAATCACCATGTGGCCAACTATGGAGATAGAAGGAAAGAAAATCACTGTCCTGGGAAATTTTCCAGGGGGGAACAATGCACAAACCCCAGGCCCTTGCCAGAAAATTCAACACTGTCTGTTATAAACTCTTCTTATTAAGAGCCTAGTTGAGAGAAGTGAGGGGTGAAAAAAAATTTTTTAAGGTATGCAGTCCATTTATGTATCTAAGTTGAAGAAGTCATTGAATTAAGCTAGATGATATTTGGATCATGTTATCTTACGTCCTTGAAGAAATGCCCTAAGTTCCATGTTAAAGTTACATTCTCTTTCACTGAAGAACACCGTTAAGTCATGACAAACCTATTGCTAACTTTCCATAACAATTTTGTACCTACCACTCAGTGCTACCCATGTGAAACTATGTGTAAATTTCTTTTAGAAATTAATATTGGAGGGTTTCTTCTTCTCTGATGACAACTATATAACTACTTCTCTTCAGCCTGACTGCTAAATCACTTACAGAGCTACATTGGAGACTCCTCTCTACCAAGTATGTAGGCCCTTAAGCCTGAACATTTGTGTAACTCCCCATCTCTAACCAAGCCGGGCTTAAGAGGTATTTCTACTTTCCCTGTTGTGGATCCTCTGGTTGTCTATAATTTACTGGTTATTTGTACTTTAAATCATTTTATTACATCTGCTCTTGCCATAAGTTGCCTCGATTAATGTATAAAATGTGGGTAGGTATGAATAAAATTAAAAGCAAGGAAGAGTGACAGAAAAAAGTTACAACAGTAGCAGGGGGACACATGCACTGGAAGCCTTGACAGCTTGAACAGGATCCATAATGAAGGCAGTGAGGGTCACAGAACACTTCCTGAAAGAGCTCATGACTGAGCGGAACACTGACAGACAGACTAGATTTCACTTAAAGAAAGAAGATAGGAGGGTAAGGAAATGTTCTAGTTAAGAAATAAAAGCAAGTACCAAAGCACAGAGGTGAGAGAGCGCCTTGTGCATTCAAGGAATGCAAGTGGTTTGCTTTGGCAAGAACAGCGTCTGGGCAAGCAGTGAGATGTGACACGGCAGAGGTACTCTGGATACTGCACTAAGGACTTTGAACTCTGGCCTTAAAAAGCACGATTAGGAGTATGAGGCCAGTGAGGAATTTATTGCAGTAACACAGGGAAGAAAAGATGACCTCCACGAACGATGACTTCACCAGTTTCCATAGACTTCAGGCATCTTTAATGAGTACGACAGTCCCTAAAACGGATTAGAAAAGAATCCAAATCCTTTCCTTAGCCTGTTCCCATCCCCTTACCAACATTAACCTTTTCAACATCACCTGAAAAAATGGGGTCATCCACCAATAGGTATGAGAGGAATAAGCCAACAGTCTTTGGACAAAACCATAAGAATCCTGATGCTGAGATTGCTCATTCTCCATTGCATTGGATATCATCTGGACTTACAGGCAACTCTAATAAGAAAAACTAGAAACTCTGATAGCTGTTCATCTCACTTAGGACAGGCAGCAAGAATCTGTTATGATTTTATGTCTCCAATTGTTCCAAACACAGTTTCTAATACAGAAATAAAACTATTCAGTGTCTCGGTCCTCGGCTCATTTTGTTTCACAGAGATCTGCATTTCCGAGTTCTCGGACTCCAACAGCAGTTCTGTTAGGAACAGACACCCAGTGTCATCCTGAGCACTGAGATAGGCTTTCCACGGGTGAGCCCCAGCCCTGCTCATTGCGATGGTCTGGATGTTCACTACTTGTAGGGCCATCTGGAGAGTGTCAGGATGGACTGCTCCCCGCCAAGGGAACACCTGCTGATGAGCAACTTTCAGGCTAAACCAAGTTTTCTCAAAATACTCAGCAGTAAGCTGGCAATTGGGGACTAGCACGAGGGCTCCAGAATCAGGGAGTTCTTGTACCCTCTCCTTGTTCTCTTCAGGAATCAGGGGACCTAAAAGAGTCAGAAAGCTTCTGTAAGAGATCTTCTTAATCTATAGGAACTATGTTTTCTATCTAGATTTCCAAAAATACACAATGTGACTTTTATCTTTGGATACATCGTTAAAATCACCAACTAGGAACTTCTTTCTTGCTCACAAAGACTTCAATTCAGGCAACAGTCTGAGATATAGCTAGGATACCCTACTTTCTACCAGTCATTACAAAAGATAAAGAGTTTTCATGATAAGATCTAAAGTAAGGACTATTTTTACCTGAGGTGGCAAAGGACGCAGTGTCAGGAAGCTCTGGGCCCCGACGCTCTGCCCCCTGGTATTTAGAGATGGTTGCCCAGCGGGCTTTGCCATAGACTGGCACCAGCGTGTTGAAGTCCGAGGCCCAGCTATTCACAGGTCTTTCTGCCTGATCTTCCAAAAGTCCAAGAGAAGGGTCAGATTTAGGGCTACAGAGGATCTGCTTCACTTCATCAATGCCGGCTAAGAGAAGGCGGTAATAAAAGAGACCTCGGTCTCGTACTGCCATATTCTTTTCTTCCTCTGAGGTAAGACAAGAGACTGAGTTAGTTACAAACAAAAACCAAAACACTCTTTCTACCCTGTGCCAACCACAACAGGGAAAACAAAAGGAAGGAGGGAGGAAGCCCCAGAAAATCATTAACATTGTCTTCTTGGGCACCAGACATGACTCACCCAACAGTGTAAGCTGTGAGGGTATTTACCATCTGACACGGCAAGCGCGACTTCCTCGGAAGAGCCTACCTATGCAGTAATGTAACAGGCGCCCCAGCGTGTCCTGGCACTCGGCGGGCCGGGAGAGGAAAAGGCGCAGCAGCGCAGTGAGCAGCTCCATCGTCACAGCTGGAAACGTCTCTGACTTCACATTCTCCACGAAGTCTTCCAACACATAGGGAGCATTGGGAATTCTCTCCCCATGGACACCAAGGAGCCAAATAAGGGCCTGTTTCCCCTAGGGAATGAAGGGGTAAGAGCAGGTGCTCAACATTCGGCTATCTGAAACACGGTGGCAGGTTCGACTTCCCACCCCCACCCAATGGCAGCGGAAAAAGCATAATCCTACATTTACTTCAACTCGCACTGCATCGATCCTCCACCCAACACCACTCTTTACAACAAATACGAACAAAATGCTACCACACGAAAGGAGACTCAAGACTCTCATAGCCCATGTTGGTTAGGTAATAAGGCTTTTTCAGTTAGGGGGCCTCCGCCCCAGTCTAGGGTTTAATGTATCGGTGGAAGCAACTGAAACACTCCTCTAACCCACTTCATGAAAGTGGTAATTGACCTAGAGTGCAAATCAAAGTAGGTAGGCCTGTGGTGAAGCCCAAATATCTGTTAATTCCACAAATGATTCTGATTCTCATTCCAGCTGAAAACTCCATTGTCTAAGCCTCTGACTCAAAACTGTTCAAGAGAACGATGATATTAAAGCATCTTTAATAAAAACCATAGATCAATCTCCTGTTTTTATCTCTTCTACCCTATCTATACCCAAAAGAGAATCTGAGGTGGCAGTCAATTCTAAGGATAGCCACATTCAGACTGGGTACAAAGAAGAATTAGATTCCATTTCACAGAGCAGGGTCCCAAGCATTCCCCTTCTGCCTGTTAGTAAAGGAGAATTACCATCTACCTCGCTATCTTGAATGTTCTCCTCACAGCCGGGCAGGGCCTGACACACAGCTTCCGTACACTGAGGACACAACCAAACCAGGTCTCGGAAAGTTTGCACCACCACTACAACACAGCTCAGGATACAAGAGCACAGGATTAGAGGCTCCACGCAGGAAGGAATCTTAAGAGAAGTCACATATTCAGACTAGTTTGCTAGATGAAGTTCGGTAAAATGGGTGTTGGAGGGGTGGTCAACGATTATCTGAGAAATGTCTGACACGGGCAATAATTTCTTACATGAATGCTGCTCCTTTTGGATCGCTAGGAGGCTAAATGAGCTAACATGTGCAAAAGCGCTTGGTAAAATGTAAAGCAAATGTGGGGTCATGTTCAATGATATTCTGAAGACGGTGTAAATGGAGCCACCAGTGTTGGAACTAGGGTGAGGCAAACAAGGTGCTGGGGGTGTAAAATTTAAGAAAACATGCAGGGTTAGCACTTGCACGAACCTGAGAGCGAGTGCCTCTTTAAATGTTTGCATCCTGGGTACCTTGCTTGCCTCACCCCAGTCCCAGCCCTGGAAGCCACTGCTGCCATAAAGCAGTAAGAGGGTAAAGCTGGGGAATTAACAAGCACAGCATCCTAGAACCCTTCATTATGTACAGAACAGCCTTGTAGAGTCATGGCAACCTGAAAACCCCCTACCTGTTAGATCTATGGACCCTATGCTTCTCTGATGGCAACAGACGATAACGCAAAGAAAAGTTTAAACCTCTATGTTACTGAACAACAAGCATTTTGGGGGGGCAACTACTACAGGGCAAGCAATTGACAAAAAAAAGCAAAACAAAAAAATGCTCAAAGGGTAGCCAGCCATTACCTGTGGTGATGTGCTCTTGTCGAAGCCCCAGCAACTCTGTTAGAATCTGCACACACTGATCTGTGTAGGTCCTGGCAATACCACCTACAGAGGAACAGAAAGCACAGAAAAGTGGTAAGTCACATACCAGCACCTCGTTCTAAAATAATTTCCCACCAGCCAAACATAAGAGGACCAAAGATACCTTAAAAAAAAAAAAAAAAAAAAAAAAAAAAAAAAAAAAAATCACACCTTGCTTGATCTTCCCAAGTTTGGTAAAAATGATTTTTCCATTGAACAACGTTGAGAACTTTCAGTAACAGAGGTATTCACATGGCAGCCAGACACGAGGCCACGGCTTGGTACAGCACAGCTGCACAGGAGTGTCCCTGCTGGGAACCCTCGACAGTAGTCTCCTGACTGCAGGAGTTCTACGCTCTCCTCTTTGTTCCCTCCTCTTGCCCCTAAAAATAACCAATCTTTATTCTCATAGGATGGTTCCTTCTCCTCTTCCGCTTGAAGCCCTCCAACAAAACGTAGCTCCCCAGCTGCTTTCATTTTGTGAGTCATTCTGGCTTTTTGAATTCCACACAGAGTAGTATGAAAAAGCCTGTGATATTTAGGATTCATTCTGCGCCGCTCTGCACTGAGCACGATACACAGCCCATAGTAGAAGCTCAATAGACAATTGGTCAATTGACACAGGACGTTGAGTCTGGAGAGCTGGGTTCCAGTCGCACTTCAGGAACTACGTGACCTTCTGGCAATAACCTTCTTGTGCCTGAGTTTCTTCATTTCTAAAATGAAGCGCTAACCCTTGTCCACTTTTCCTGACTGCCTCCCAAGACCGTGCTAAGATGATATATGGGAAAGCATTCTGGACAGCAATGTAAATTTTAGGTACTATAGTCTGAGTTACCTGTAGCCTCTATCCTGGCAGATATGGCAACACCAGTGTTGACGAAAACACCTCCCCCCCCCCACTCCTTCTGTGGTCACTGACTCCCAGTTCTTTGGTGCATGGTACTTTGTCTCTGCCGCAAGATTCGTTCCTGTTTATTCCCTATGGTTCCACAGCTTTCGGGCTGGCCTGAGCGCTCACAAAGGAAAAGCGGCAGATACCTACCTATGGCAAAGATGGCAGCCTGGGCAAAGTCAGCTGACACATCGGTACAGTAGCCCCGGAGCTCCTCTAGCACCTGCTGCACGTTCTCATCGTTCACCAGCTCACACAGCACCTCCACCTTCTGCAGCTTGATGTAGTGTGGCTCCGAGTAAGAGCAAAAAAACTTTTTGTAGTGGCTGCTAAAGTGACCCGGCAGACTATGCAAGATCTGACGCACATGACAGAGGGCAGCAAAGCAGAGCTCGCGGCTCTCTGAAGAACAGGCGGCCAGCAAAGGTCCCTTGACTTGCACAAGCACGTCGGTTTGTACGTGGGGGAATTTTTTTGCCAAGATCAGAAAGAGTTTCGTGGCTCCCATCACCACACCTGGGCTACTGCTCTTGAGAAAGCTATCCAACAGATTGAGAATGTCAAACAGCTCCTCCTCACTGCGGGGTTCGTAGCGTAGCAGAAAGTTCAATACTTCAGCCTGGCCCCATTGGTCCAGTTTTGGCATTCTGTCCAAAAAAGGAAAGCATTATTTTAGCAACCAAATGAGGACCATCTCCGTGCAACTGTCACCTGTTCATCAAAACAAGGAGAGAATTCTTGAAAACAGGTTGTGCCATAACAGAATTATTCTTTTTAGGTACTATTTAAAGTGGACACAAAACAGGCTTTAAATTCCAAGAGGAGTTCACAGTACACATTCTCACTCATCTAAGGCCAAAGACCGTGATTGCTATACCTAGATCCAGATTCTTTAAGACAACACAAATGGCTTAGTTTGGGGGACATAATGATTGTAGAGGAGGACAGAACCTATTTCCACAGGATATTTCTGCCATCTCTCTATATGACCAAAAGAAACTAAGACAAATAAAAGAATATTCTCTCAATAAAATATGAGGAAACTAATAGCTACGGTTAATTTTACTACTCTATAGAAGTTGTTCAAGATGTCCCCTTAATCCAACATATCAAGACCCCACTAGGATGCAGATCTCATCATAACAAAAAGAGGACTGAGGCATCCAAACCGATTTAAGAGATGGTGGGCGATGGGCTTGTTGATGACAACACCTCCTTCCTGTCTCAGAATTTCCTCTAGAGACCTCAGGCAGTTCACAACCACAATTGGATCCTGGTCACGCAGCAAACTGTATAATTCATTTACCAGGGCACCGTCTATAAAAGAGCATAAAGATCTCAGATAAAGAACAGTTTCAGAGTCACAGGAATAGAACCAGGACAATAGCTCCAGGCAGATAAAGCTGAACTTCTCTGCTACAAAAATAACAAAGGCAATAATAAAATGCAAAGCACAAAAAAAAAGCCATCCCAGACTGTTCTAAGTAGCTAATGCAAAGGATCTCACCTGGGCTCCAAAGAAAAGACTTCTCCAATCTCAGAAAATACCAAGCCAGCCTTTCTACTTAGAGACACATACAGGGGTGCCTGCGTGGCTCAGTCGGTTAGGCATCTGACTGACTCTTGATCTCGGCTTAGGCCATGATCCCATGGTTTATGGGATTGAGCCCTGAGTTGGTGCAGAGCCTGCTTAGCATTCTTTCTCCCTCGCTCTCTGCCCCTCCCCCACTCATTCTCCCTCTCTCACTCTCTCACAATAAATAAATAAACCTTAAAGAAAAAAAGAGAAACAAGTACACAGCCACATTACTATTTCCTACCAAAGCCACGTGACCTTTTCCAAAGTCAAACATATAACGGAGACACAAAAAAATATAAATCATGATGGATTACACTGAAACTTACCCACTTCCGAGTCTCCGTGAAGATTATGCATCTTGGCACAACCAAGGACTGCCACCCTCCTGACATATGAAGCCTTATCTCGCAGACCATTGAGAATAGGCTGTTGGATGTATTCCTGCACACCAGGCATCCTAAGCAACACATCCTGGAGTCAGCCAGATCCTAAAACACTAGTTTTGACATAATTCAGGCCCTATGCCCTTAACACAGAAGGTTTGGTAGATGTTTGAATGTACATCTATCATGTCATAAAAAATTAGAGAAAGCCACTGGCCAAACTTAAAAAGTCATACTTGACTTTTCATTTGGACTAACACTGCATGGGCAACAAAACTATATGTCTACATAACTGTTTAGAAATCTTTAACCAAAAGCACGAACTATCTCAGCAAGAGTGAGGATGTTAAACTCCCTTTAAGGAAACCATGGGACATAGTTTTTCAAGCCTAAGCAATGGCTGAAAACCTGAGTTCAGGTTACAACTGCATGTTCCCCATGATTAAGAAGCTCAGATAAATTATCATCATTAAAAACCTGTCCCATGATCTTCCGAATACATCAACCACTGATAAACAGTCCTGGAAGAGGGTACTCACCTGAGACTACACATGCTCCGTAATGCCAGCCCCCGCACCATTGGATTGGGATCCGAACAGTCTTTGCACAGCGTATTAATGGCCAAGAGAGCCAGATCTGGTTTCAGGGGGGCATAGGTACACATGTACAGATAAACCAACTTCTTCTGAACAATATCTACGGTGGCACTGGCCTTCACCATTTCCATGAAAACACCAGACATGTCCAAGCCCTGAGTCATGTGCCTAAAACCAACACACATAGCAGGAAGAAGTAAAATACATGATCCCCAGCCTATAACAACAGGTGTTTTACCTATACACATCCCGGTTATCCAACTAGATTATGAGGAAAGCACCGGGTCTACCTTGTCTATCACATTGCACAATACTTCACACGATAGGCCTACAATAAATTTTCTTCTATTCATTCAAGAAATAGTTATTGAATCCCTGGAACATTCCAGTGAAAATCAGCTTCTACATTCCAGGGGTATGCTCTGGGGTCATAATTTCAAAAAAAGCATGGTCTCAGATCTCTAGCAACTCAAACTGTATTAAGGAGCAAGACAAAAACACCACTAATTACAATATGATCGGTAAGTATTAAAACAGAAGTAACAGGGGCGCCTGGGTGGCTCAGTCGGTTGAGCGGCCAACTTTGGCTCAGGTCATGATCTCACGGTCCGTGGGTTCGAGCCCCGCGTCGGGCTCTGTGCTGACAGCTCAGAGCCTGGAGCCTGCTTCGGATTCTGTGTCTCCCTCTCTCTGACCCTCCCCCGTTCATGCTTTGTCTCTCTCTGTCTCAAAAATAAATGTTAAAAAATAAAAAATAAAAAAAAAACAAAAACAGAAGTAACAGACAAGGTGCAGTGGGGGATCAGAGGTCTAATACTGCCAAGAAACCATAAAATGTTTCCACAGAAGTAACACTTTAGTTGAATGAGCTGGAATTTGTCAGGCAGGTGTAGTAGACAGGTAATGATAGATGCTATAAGGCACATAGGCATCAGCAAGAATGCTACATTCTTTTGAGAGTCTGCAAGTAGTTGTGTTAGGGTGTTCTTTGGGTACTATAAGAAATTTGGACTTTATTCTGTAGATCAGTTTCTCAAACTATGGTTTCCTACAGGAGTCAGATGGGGTGTCTGTTTAAAACGCATATTCCTGGGTTCCATCCCACCCTACTGAAAGCAGCACTACTGGACTGGATGAAAACTTTGATTTTTCTTTTTCTTTTTTTTT